CGCGGCGCTGGCTTGAGAGACCGGGGCAGCGGAGGGTCGCGCCGTTCCCGCCAGTGCGATGGCCCGGAATCGGAGTTGATCGTTTTCCTTTATTGTGCGCTCTGGTTGCGTCACGGGCCGGCCGAGTGGGAAGAATGGTGCATTGTTACGTCTGGCGTTGCGTCTGAGGTGGAGGTGGCGGCCGGCGGCGCCGGGACCCTGTCAGCATGGGGCATGTGATTAACACAGATTAATGACCCAACACATTATACCCAAGGCCGTGCATAAAGCACTAGCTATCCAATCTAGTCTCGTTTCATTGTGACCGATTTTTCATCGGTGAACCGCGGGTTCCCTGTAAGTATAGGTGTCATAATGAATGGCCCAAGCTCCAGTAATGAATGCTTTATTATCCATCTGGAAAGCATCAAAAGGGATTCAATCAAATTGCTTGATTTACAAGCAATCTGCAATTAAGAAGTATAAAAAGTGGTTTGAAAACTAGGAGTTAAAAGCCCTTCAGGATATTAAAACCCAACCTTGACCTGATGAATAACATCGATAGGTACCTTAATACGGTAAGAGTGCACACTGCACGGTTAAATCAAGCAGAGAGCTGTGCCCATTTAAGTTATAAAGATCGCAAAATCAACACCCTGAACTATCACCCAGATGTGAAGTTATATTATACCTGAAGCATCCTTTCACTCTCAGTCTCATCGCTTCTTTGTCCGCACTCTTCTTTTCTACCTTAAAAGTCATTTAAAAAGCCTGTATCCACGCCAACCAATCCTGAAACTCTCACGTCTGTCGTAGGAAGCGTGTCTAACGTGCGTGCCGACCAGCCCAGTTACCTCGCCCGGGGCTCCGGGGTAGGCGAGACAGGCCGGCTGTCAGTGCGTGGGCCGGCGCTCGCCGCAACCCTCTGGAAGACACACGTACCGCCGCCTCAGCAGTGCCGCCGCCCCAGCCGCGAACGGCCTGAGCGGTGCTGGCGCTCTGACCTTGCGTTGATAGCCCGTGGGCAGGCGGCCGGCTCGCCTTCCCAGTGCGATCTGCTGAGAGAGCCATTGCCGGTGGTGGGGAGCCGTTTCAGCCGGGTGTTGGCTTGTTAACCCGCTGTGGGGCCGCTCTGAACACCTGTGACCCTTGACCCCGGCACCAATGCCGTGTGTGGAGCGCACCATTCGATGCAGTGAGCGACCTCAGCAAAACAGTTTATCCTCAATGCCGGGATAATCGTGAAAATCAGTTCACTTACGTGGCGGGCAGACAAAAGAACCAGGTCAGATTCGCAGCATCGTTATCTTTGCAATATCTGAGTGAAACATTGCAGCAGCTGCAACATATTATTTCCAGAGTGCCTACAGACGCACAGCGGGCTTCTAGTCGTAAATTAGGGACGTAAATTCACCTATTATCAGACATTAACGTCGTCTACCTACATCAGCGTCAGGCTCATTAACTGTGTCATAATTGGAAACGCTGTCTGAATATGTATTGTTCATTAGCAGGGTAATCATCTGCGTGTTGTAAACGAGACCTGTCCTTTCCTCTCACCACTCAGAACACCAATAAAGTCCGCCTGCGCAGTGCGCACTGGGCTGCCTTTACTGGATCAAGGTCTCCGGTGGGCCCGTGGCTCAGCGGGCAATTACTAGAAAAGTGCAATGGGCCCACAGGGAGCCACAGCTTATCCTCAGGGGTGAAGGGGTGGTGTGGGCGAGGCAGCCTTTCATTGGCTGAAATAAGACGGCTCCGGACTTCGCAGCTCTTTTACGTCGCTGTGCTCTGCAAATGTTACCTAGAACTACATGTAGTGAGGCAATGCAGAAGTTGTGGGGAACTTTTGTGTGGCACTTGCGGTGGGGAAACCCCATGGCCGGGGCAGATCTGAAATCACTTTTGTGAACAGAGTTTCTTCTGACAGAGTTAAGAAGCCCTGGAAGGCCAGTTGGCCTGCTATCAACTTTCCAGCATGACAGCGGCTGTAGTGGAACTGTAACGATACGTTTCGGTCTGACATGTCTCACTGAAGTTTGACGTTTCACTCAGCAGCCTGAAATTGAAACGCTCACTGATCTGCAGTGCAGATGACCGTGACAGCATGACTTGGATGTTAACCCTAGAACGCCTAGGGGGGGTTGTATCAACCCCCCCCCCCCCGAGGTTTTTTCGAAGTGCACGCTAAACGGCTTGTCGTAGCGGGCTGAAATTTTCAATACCCTCTGGGGCAACCTTTGCGCATCTTTTGCCGAAAAAAAAAATTGATCGGGTCATGTCAGGTCACGGAGTTATGACGTCATAAGAGGTACAGCCTCCGGCCGACAGTTACCAAACGTGTGCGCCGAATCCCTAGGTTTTCTGTCGGTGATACCCACATTGTTTGATGGATCATGATGAAACTTCCCATGCATGTTGGGGCAAGCATTGACTATCGTGTGGTGCAAGAAAATTGACCGGGTCAGGTCAGGTCACGGAGCTATGACGTCACAAGAGGAACAGCGTCCGGTACTATTTTTGAAAAGCGCCCGAACCACTATTTTGCTAATTCTTGTCACCTCAATGGGAATATGCAGCAATATTAGCTTCTATAGGGAGCAAATGGACCTCCCGAATCCAAAAATACAATCAGATTTCAAAAATTTAAATTTTGATTTTTCGAATTTCTGCCGCCGACTGTGACCTTGCCGACTTCCGGCGCTCCCAACGCGCCATTTTTAGAGCTAGGGAAACGAAATACATACCAAACGATAGAGAATTGATCAAGGAACACGATAGTGAAGGTTTCAAGTCGATATCTCCCACCGTTTTGCCGCAATCCCCGCGGAAAGTTGAAAAAGTTTGATTTTTTCGGAAAATTTGACCTTTGACCGGTCATAAGTAGGTCAAATGTTGACCTAGGACCAAAAAATATACCACCAATCGCGAGATCTCGTTGAGAGCAATCCGTTGGTTTTTTTCCGCTAAGCTCTACGACCTTCCGTTTCGAAACGCCAGGGGGGTCGTAACAACCCCCCCCCCCCCCCCTGGTCGTTCGTGTTATGAGAAATGGCCTGGTCGTGCGAGGGTTAAGCACGATCAACTCGACTCACGGAAATCTTACTTTTATGTACGAGCATACGATTCTCCAGTGTTGAAAGATACTGGAAAGTAAAATATCATGATTGTTGTGCTGTTGTATAATATGTGGCCCAGGCCACTTGTAGAAAAAGAAGGCCGGAGACTATGTATACTCGTATGTTGTGAATGTCTTGAGCGTGTGCAAGCGACGCTGTTTTCTGTTAGCAGAGCTGGATGCGGATACGACACACGAACGGCAGAGTGTCCTGACAGGACACGTCATCCGCTTCTGCCAGGGACATCCGGACACAGTCCTCGTGTGCTCCGCCCGCGTCGCCCGGCGCGACGCTCTTCCAGCTGACCGACCACGGGCTGTCGTCAGTGGACAGAAAGGTCCCCTCCGAGGCCAGAACGGACAGGCTGACAACACAAACGGAGCGCAGTCAAAGTGCGCACAGAGCACGCGCCAGGTGCCGTTTTTGACGACCGGTGAGAGACGCGCTCCCGGCAGCAGTTGGCGGCACTGCTCATCAGCGTCCTGCCAGGCCGCGGCGATGGAGACGTAGTGGTAGCAGTAGCCGTCCAGCGCCAGCCAGCCGGTCGGACAGGGCAGGCCAGACTGCCAGCGAAGCGGGTCTTCACAAATGCAGCTCTCCCGCCAAGAGTAGCACGGGAGGGAGTTGAACGGCCGTTTCGTTCTCAGAAATCGTCTGACAATTACGCAGCCTGTCTCAGCTATAGAAGAGGAAGAAATCAAGCTGAGGTGGGTTTTTCCGTTGTTCAATTCAAGTCCAATATGCTCCGCCGTTATAGGTTGTGAAGGATTGTAGATCATCCAGGTGACATTGGTGCTGTCTTTTGGTGACATCAAATCGATGTTTTCAGACAGGCTTCGGCAAAATGACCGAAATGCGTCCCAGTCTTGTTTGTCCTTTGCAGTGTGCCTCGATAGCATTTGTTGCGCTGCAGCAGTAGGTACGCATTATAGCAAAACTTTCACTGTTATAAATTTTTCAAACCAATTTTGCAGTACGTATTTGACATCGTACACCAATATAAATAGCACCATCGTGTTTCTGAGCACAAACTGCATCCGATAGACATTTATTTTTTGTTAAAAATTTCAACTCTAAAATTTGACCTTTTTGACCTGAAAGTGGCCTGACCTAAGCTAAGTTCAACTCAAAATGACCTCGCATGACATAAACGACATCGAATTCGAAATATATGGCCTAAATGGACCATAAAACATGTGTCACGTGACCGATGCATGACATACGATTTCCGTGAGCTGTGATGACCTGACCCTGACCTGAAAATCAAAGTACAAGTTTGGTACCCTCAGGGTATCTAAAGCATCTGCTCAAGAGTGTGTAAACAAAAAATGAGCCCGATCTGACTTGTAAGACGGCGGCCAGAGCCCAAAATGTGAACAAGCCAATTATCGATGCTTTTTACTTTGACCTGACCTGTGACGTCATCGGTGACTCCGAGGTCAATGAAACTTGGTTTCGTTCGACAGTTTTTCCGGGGCTATCAGACGCCGTTTGGCGTTTGAATTTTGACGATCGGCCTAGTAGTCTCGGAATTAGGAGGGGACCGATGAATAGCCCCCCCCCCCCCCCAGTAGGGCGCGTTATACGCAGACCCCAGTGGGGCGCGGGGGACGCTAAATCCTCTGATGGCCCACACCGGCCACCGCGGTCTTTAAATCGCGCCGGGCCGGTGCTATCGAATGCACGATCTTCCATTATAGCTCATTCGATGCGTCTGGACGAGGAAAACGCGATGGCCCCTATATTATGGCCTTGGGAGCACCTCTACTGCAAGAGTTTTCATTATGGCAGTGGTTTAGAAAGTTATTTGATCTTTGCAGTTGTTTAGATGACTGTGCAGCTGCTTAATATATTTTTGCTTCATTCTCAGCGCGGCTGAGGCAATCACTTTTTGTAAGTTTTGTAGTGGATGACCGCGGCGGAAAATAAAAAATAAAAATAAGGGTGCGTTCTTTGAACAGATTTCACGTGAAATTTCACATGGAATCGGAAGTCAAGCCGTTCTTTGCCGATTCCACGCGGAATTTCACGTGAAATCCCGCGGAATTCCACGATATAGCCTTGATTCCACGTGAAATACGGGAATCGAAAAAGGTTGTCCCGAGCGCTTTTTTCAAGATGGCGACGCCCAGTGGAGGAGGGAATGTGAATGTGTGCGTATGATATGGACTGGTTTTGGGGAATATGTTACTAAATTGTTACCGTTTTTACCAAAAACCTTTTTAGGGCCTGTTTCCGCTGTTACTAACCAGCAAACTGGTGTGGAAATATCAACTGGTAGGTATTCTTACAAGCTGTATGCACACCAGAGACTTTTCTATAAAAACTCCATCTGCCTCTTATCACTTAAGATGCATCATGTAACTTACCGACAATACAAGCAACGCTAATTTCAATGCATGTTTCACAAATCTGGGCATATTGCATTTATGAAGCCTCTGCGACAATTGCGCCGTGAAATTCCCGTGCTCTCGGCAAAGAACGCATCAGCTGACTGAGCCGTGAAATTTCACGTGAAATTTCCGTGCAAAGAACGCACCCTAAGCCTTACTGTTATACCGTCTCCAAGGAAGAGACTGAGAGACATTTTCAAGTGATTTTACATTGCGCCTCAGCCTGCTGACACTTTGGTCTGGCTGCTTAGTGAGATGTGTCTAAAAAGAATCGGATGGAGCGGCGCTTGTGGCATTTGTAATTAAACGGTTACGGCCAAGAATTTTAGTCTTGGATGAAGTTAAACCAGGCTGTGTTGCTTTTTGCCCTTTTCCTTTATAGGTAATGGTCGTTGTAACATTTTTTAAAGGTTTTTGCCAAATATCCGCTGCTTATTTGAAATTGGGAAGTCATCAGGAGGGCTGTTCACGGACCCTGTGTGCGGTCGGACCGCACACAGCCTCCAAGCTCCGCCCACTGCGTCCCTACGTCAGCCTTGCGTCACCGCACACAGCAACCGCTGTGGCCGGTCGGGACTGGCCACAGCGGACCGTCCACCGCACGCAGCCGTGACGTCAGAGCCGCCTACCCATCCCCTACCCCCACGCCTGCTGGACGTACCGCACACACCGCACGCAGCAGTGTGCGGTGCCCGTGAACACCCCTAGGGAAACTATGGTAAAATCTGCTATTTTTAGCAGTCTGCTATTTTTAACAGAAATCTGCCAAAAATGGGTACGCATGTGACGTCGTCGTACCCAAATATAGCAGATTTGGGTACGGCCCCATACAAAAGCAGATCTGCACCCTAATTGAAGCAAATGCGCATCAAATGCCTGGCAGATTCATAATTAGAATAGTGCTGAGAATGTCCTCTGATATTTTTATTCAGATCCGACTATTTTCAAATAATGAATTTGAAAATAGTCTGATCTGAACAAAAATAGCATAGATCACTCTCAGCACTATTCTCATCATGAATCTGCCAGGCATTTGATGCGCATTTGCTTCAATTAGGGTGTAGATCTGCTTTTGTATGGGGCCGTACCCAAATCTGCTATATTTGGGTACGATGACGTCACATGCGTACCCATCTTTGGCAGATTTCTGTCAAAAATAGCAGACTGCTAAAAATAGCAGATTTTGCCATAGTTTCCCTGACTATCATAATTTCCTCTGAACGTGAACTCAAACTGGGCTCACGCAGGCTCCAGCCTTCAAGTTAGAGGGCTTTCTCCTAGTCTGACTCCAGACTTGTTTCAGTCACCAAATGCTTACTTGAAAAGTTATGATTTAAGGTTTTATATTTTATATGTATGTTATTTATAGTTGCCTGATATGATATCATTTAGATAACAATAAGAGATAAGCCCTGCAATGTATCTTGTATGAGGCTATGCACCCTAAACCAAGAAGAAGAAGAATGTATCTTGCATTCAAACATTCTGATCATGAATGTAACAGATGAGAGGCCCGGTTCTAACAAAAGGGAAATTTCCGCCTGCTGTTCGTTTTAGCGTAATGTTGCCCATAAGTTTCACTGGCATAAAAATAGCCAAATTTGAAGAAATGCTAGAATGATATTTTCACTTTGGCAGCATTAGTCGTTATGGGGTTTATGAAACTGAAATTGTTGGTGATGTGTAGCCTGTAGGCCCAAAAATGACTGCTACCAGAGATAATTCTGTTGTTAAAGCCGGACTCAGGTTTTTGTGACATTCAGATTTAGCTGCTTTTTGTAAAATACATGTTCATTTATTTTCAAGTTATTCATACTCAATGTGTGCTGATTTTGATACAATTCTTCTGAATGTTATGCCATTGTTGATTGTCTGCTGTAGTGACTCTAGACTCTATTTCTATTTTGCTTTGCTATATGTATCCCATTTGCCAGTCCCATTGCTCAGTTGGTAGAGCATTGGACTCCACATGGTGAGAGCACACTTTCCCGAGGGGTGTTCACGGGCACCGCACACTGCTGCGTGCGGTGTGTGCGGTGCTTCCAGCAGGCGTGGGGGTAGGGGATGGGTAGGCGGCTCTGACGTCACGGCTGCGTGCGGTGGACGGTTCGCTGTGGCCAGTCCCGACCGGCCACAGCGATCGCTGTGTGCGGTGACGGAAGGCTGACGTAGGGACGTAGTGGGCGGAGCTTGGAGGCTGTGTGCGGTCCGACCGCACACAGGGCCCGTGAACAGCCCTCCGGTTATAACAGTGCGGGTTCAAAGCACGACGAGTGCTTGATATTTATGGGCCTCCTGAGTCCTGACAGGTATGGTTGCGGTTGGTGGCAGGCTGTAGCCAGGCGAAGTCAGTGAGGGGACTGGCCGTGTGTGGCTATGTGCGTACGTTTGGACTCTAAATTCTGCCATATAACTGGAATTGCGCGGAGGGTAGAGGGCAGGGTCAACACAACAAGTATATCACTTTATTTTTATTCTTTACAGGCTAGTGTGAAAAACAAAGGAAGCAACATAATCCTAACATTTTGGTTTGACTAACAGCTTCTCTAAAAAAAAAAAAAATAGTTCAGCCATGTCTGATGCAGAGATTGACTTCATGTGTGATGATGATGAAGATTATGACCTGGTAAGTGTTCAGTAATCAATTGATATGCAATAATGAAAATAGGTGGAAGCTAAAATCATAAGAGCAAGCTGCTTAACTGCTATCCTCCTTTTTAAGCGATTCTTTCCAAGGCAGCAAATGAAAAAGAAATACAAATTTAGAATCTATTAGTTTAAGCCTCGAAATTGTACTGATTGCCCATTACAAAGAAAATATTATTCAATTTTGAATTTGGACGAACTTCTCACATTGCACTTTCCAAGCAGATCGGTTTGAACATTTGACATTCGAAGTTCAGTTTTCATAAGTTTGAAATTTGATATTATAATCCATATTGGTCCTTGATTTTGATTGAACCTGGTTGAAAAGGATTAACTTATCATCTCAATGTTACTCCCAACCAGGAATACTCGGAGGACAGCAACTCCGAGCCGGACGTGGATCTGGAGAACCAGTACTACAACTCGAAGGCGCAGAAGGAGGATGACCCCATCGGCGCCCTCTCGGCCTTCAAAAAAGTCCTCGAGCTCGAGGGCGGCGAAAAGGGAGAGTGGGGCTTCAAGGCGCTCAAGCAGATGATCAAGATCAACTTCAAACTGGTTAGTGAACCTCGTTTGGTCCTGATATTGTCTTTGCCTAGAAATATGAAACATCTTTTCTTCCGGACCATAAATGTTTTTCGTCCTAATGTAGCTCAAATGAGTGTTTTCTTTTGGGTCTAGTACAATTAAAAAGACTTCCTGTTGAAAAGGTCTCATAAGTGGCCTCTGCTTCCAACCATCAGACATCAATAGAAACCTTCAAGAATTGCTTATTTAAATGACTGTATGGATGCTTATATAGTTTCGGCTGGTGATCGGGATTATGTTGTATGATGATTCACATAAGTGTATTCGCTTCCGCAGGGCAACTATACCGAGATGATGAACCACTACAAGCAGCTCTTGCAGTACATCAAATCGGCGGTCACCAGAAACTACAGTGAAAAATCGATCAACTCCATTCTCGATTACATATCGACGTCCAAACAGGCAAGTATAACCAAATGGCTGGTCTGAATTTTAGTTACCTGTATCGCTTTGGCATAAGTCTGTCTACTTGTTTGGTTAGCTAATGATGAATAATTTAGGGTCGAATGGGTCATAAACTGCTAAAACCTATCTGCTCAGACTTGACAGACGTTTCCTAAGTTACACAGTTTTTTTTTCTTTGTTACTTAAAGTTGTGTACTGTGTAGGTATGCTTATTGTGGTATGTTTATCAATGTGTATTTCAAGTTAAATAAATGCTCACCAGTGGAACTACTTTCATCAAGCTCTAAAGCTCACACGCATAATTTCACGTTATTCACAGATGGAGCTGCTGCAAAACTTTTACGAAACGACGCTGGAGGCTCTGAAGGATGCCAAGAACGACCGCCTCTGGTTCAAAACCAACACCAAACTGGGCAAGCTCTACTTCGACCGCGGGGATTACGCGAAACTTCAGAAGATTCTGAAACAGCTTCACCTCTCCTGCCAGGTCGATTTTGTTTTGCTATTTTTCCCTTTTAGAAACTGGATGCCGCTGCAGCCTTTTCGGCCAGCTACTGCTCGGGGGCAGACAGTATTTGGGGGAGTATTCGATCAGTCACGGGAACTAACGATCAGCCAGACAGTGGCACAGTTTGATCTGTGTGTGTGTTTTTTTTTTTTGTGTGTTTTTTTAATCATTTGCTAAAATGTCGCATGCTTTCTCTTCATGTACCGGAGCAGCCTTCTAACACGCCTCGATAAATCTGGAGTGCTAGCGTGCACGCTAGTGCCACCTGGATTCGATGAAAGAAATCGTACGGTCAACGTTTTACCACTTGGCGGATGCCATTTGCTGAACCACTGCTGTGTATGCTTTACAGTGTACTGTATCCTAACGACACATTGCCCAGACGGGCAAAACTTTTAAAAATGAACCTTTCATTGAGTAATCCAATGATCGCGCAGTTCCCAAGATGCATTGCGGCGATGCGCACATCTTTTGTCGTTATCTGCTCAAAAGGAGCCGCCTGTTGCTGACATTCTCTGGCGCCTTTGTGCTCAGACCGACTCTGGTGAGGACGACATGAAGAAGGGGACCCAGCTGCTGGAGATCTACGCGCTGGAGATTCAGATGTACACGGCACAGAAGAACAACAAGAAACTAAAGAAGCTCTACGAGCAGTCGCTGCACATCAAGTCAGCCATCCCGCACCCGCTCATCATGGGCGTTATCAGAGGTGGGTGTGGTGACGGGAAGGATGATTATGGTGAATATGGTATAGGGTAGTGTGGGGTAATTTGAACATATTTTTACGTATTCTCTGTTGTACCAAATTCCAGCTCAACCCTGGATAAAGAAAAACTGTTTCAGTAGCGCAAGTGTCACTTGCTTTCACCATGCAAGGCTCATTTTTGGACGAGCCGAGCATACCTTGAATAGCATAGCCTCACTTCTCCACCAAGTCACTGCGTGTTCAAATTGTCCCACCGTGGGGTAATTTGAACATACTGCCTTTACCTGTCATAAAAACGATAGTCTTGCCAGCACCGATGTTGTTTGACCCATAAACAAATAGACAGAACAATTCTAAACATACCTGCACTTGAAAAATCAACACAACAGCAAAAATAACAGTTGCAGAGTATCAATATCTGCACGCTGCACACCGGTCAGTTGACAGAATTCGCATCTCTTCAATTAACAGAACGTCTATCATTTCTGTTCGATAAAAACTCTCCCAACCTTACTGCATCTGTTATAGTGGTGCCAATCGGATCCTGGGCATTCGGAGTTCCTATTTCGTCCCATGTCCAATTCGGAATTGGTTGGACAAAGGTAGCAGACTGGACAACATTGGACGATGGCCTGCTACACTTAAGCATTTTTGTAAAGTAATCGTGCATGACATTGATTGGTGAATGGAAAGCTTGTTAAGCTCTCTATATAATTAACACTTTCCGGCTGGTAAAATTACATTATAAGCAATTTAAATGACAGTTTTGAGTGTTGATTATTGCGTAATTTTTGGACATATTTGGACAAATGGCTGATTTTAACATTTTGGACGGAAAATCTACGAAAATGCCGGACATTAGACAGATATTAGACGTAAATTTTCCAAAATTGGCATCACTTATCTGCTGCTGCTTTGGGACGAAAATATTTGCAAAAAAAACCGGGAGCGTTGTTTTTCGGAGGTATCCCTGTCTTCATTGAAAATCTCACACTATGTTCAAATTACCCCACGCTAAAAGTTATTTTGCCATATTTAAAAACAGGTTTCAAAAGCAAATTTCTTGGATTGAAGGCACTGATTAGGTCATTGTACAACAAAAACCGTTGCGTATTAATCGCTGGCAATGCAAGATTTTGCGCTGCAATAAAGTTGCAATGACGTGTTGTTATGGCGTTTTCACTTGCGAAATTGATTTTTTACAGTGTGCGTCAACATCTTCATTCCCTGAAACTTTAAACCCCGTTCATATGATAGCCCTTTTAGTTACGATAATTTCCCTCATTGGTCTTATTGTCATGCCACTTACGGATTTTCCGTAATTTTGTGTTATTCACACTATTTTCAAATTGCCCCACATGTTCAAATTACCCCACCCTACCCTATCGATTATGGGGAATGGCCTGCCATGCCTGGGTAGATCTGGGTAGATCTTAAGATCATGTAGAACTGTAGAACCTACGACTGGCACTGTCTCGTCGCAGCTGCTCGGGGAAAAGTTTCACTCTGTGTACGAGTATAATGCTCCAGATACAGCCTTTCATCATCAAGGCGGTAGCACTATCTTGCTCACATTGCTACTTGTATAGAACGTGTTAGGTGAATACCAATGGTTAGACAAAAGCAAATTGTGTAAATGTATGCGATCCCTGATTTTCTGTGTCCAGAGTGCGGCGGGAAGATGCATCTGCGGGAGGGAGAGTTTGAGAAGGCGCACACAGACTTCTTCGAGGCGTTCAAGAATTACGACGAGTCCGGCAGCCCACGACGCACCACCTGCCTCAAATACCTGGTGCTGGCCAACATGTAAGAAAGCGGGCGTCAGGGCCTCGGGGCTTCTGCGATTGGCCCGTTTATTTGACAATTTAGCACGTTTTCTCTCTTCTTGTTCCTCTTTATCGATAAAAGGTCATTCATGGACCTGTTATGCCAAATTTTATATGCGGTTCGAAATTTGCATTTAGCAATTAATTAGAATTGGGATTTTTACCCTTTCTGTCTCACCGACTATTTATGGCATGGCATATTGCCATATATCATGCACTTGTATAACTTTGGAACTTTGGATGAGTTTTTTTGCACTGTTTGTTCGGAACTCATGATTAACTCTACACCATTGTGTATGTTTTCAGGCTGATGAAGTCGGACATCAACCCGTTCGACTCGCAGGAAGCCAAGCCGTACAAAAATGACCCAGAGATCCTGGCGATGACCAACCTCGTCATGGCCTACCAGAACAACGACATCAACGAGTTCGAGAAGATCCTCAAGAACAACCGCAAAAACATCATGGACGACCTCTTTATTCGTGAACATATCGAAGGTGAGGGGATAGAATTTGGCAAGCGGCAAGAGCAGTGTGGCAACTAATGACTGGTTCGATAAGTTATACTCTCTTAGTCGTAGTATTACAAAGTGCCTGCATATCTGGAAAGTGTCTTATAAAGTGATCATGAACTTGCACAAAATATTTAGGTTGGTATATGGCACTGAAGGTGGCAAGCCCCGATTAAAATTCATTGTACTTTTCCCACTCCCTTGATAAGCGTGCTTGCAGTAGATATAACTGTCCTGTTGTACTAGCAGTATAAGAACATATTCACCACATATTTGACGATAATTGTAGAAGACATTGCACCGTTGCTCATTTTCACATTCTCTCCCGTCAGACCTCCTGCGGAATATCCGAACCCAGGTGCTGGTCAAGCTGATCAAGCCGTACACGCGCATCCAGATCCCGTCCATCTCGAAGGAGCTCAACATCGACGTCACAGAGGTGGAGAACCTGCTGGTCTCCTGCATTCTCGACAAGTGAGTGAAAGCATAGATACTTGACGAGCGAGGGCTTTAAAGGATGTTGTCAGGGCAAGTGAGACTAATTTTGCTTTGAGACTTATGAGATCAATAGATGAGATCCAACAGTATTGAACTTCCTGGATCTCAGGAAAGGTGGTGCAAGCAGGGCTTTTCCAGCACTTGGATGTGCTTACTAGTCGTTTCATTGCTTGCTTTTCCGCTTTATTTTAACAAAATAAGTAGGAATTTAGGTAACTGCCAGACTCCAGTAATTTGTGAGCATCGCAAGTCTCATCTTCCGTCCCACCTCCCTGACCGTTGTAAATCAGCCCCGCGTCTCGCTGCCCGTGTGACCCGGAACTGACCCGCGCCCCTCCCCTGTCACCCCTGCAGCACGATAGCGGGCAGCATCGACCAGGTGAACCAGGTGCTGGAGCTGACCCGTGAGCCGCGCGAGGCGCGCCGCTACCACGTGGTGGACCTGTGGGCGCGGCAGCTCTCCTCGCTTCACGCCACCGTCATCAACCGGATGATGTAGAGCGCGGGCGAGCTGCCCACGGCCAACTTCGGCCTCCGGGAGCACGAGCCGGAGCCGGAGCCGCTGCTGCGCGCCCGCAGAGACGTCGAGCGCGTGCAGATGCTGCACGGGCTCCGAGACGCCGAGAGCGAGAGAGATAGGAGGAAAGTGGGCAAGGGGTCGCGGTCGCCCGCCTCCGCTGCCGCCGGGAATTGAGTGCGGACGCTAAGAGCAGTGTGCTGGACGCTGATGGAAGATGGCCACCGTGCTCGCTGCCGTTCCCCCGTGTGTGGCTGACCTCGGACGGTGGGCGGGCGCTGTGAGTACCGTGCCCGAAGCCCCGGCGAGTGTGCCACTTACCTCTGCCCAGAGCTACTCGACAGTGTGGCGCCCCCTGATGTCTCCCGTGTGCGCTGTTCAAGATCCCGGTGAGTGCGTGTGTTTGGAACCGCTGCCTCAGATGACGTCTTTGCCTCGTATGATGTCATGCCGCCGCGGGAAGCCTGTGATAGTGTGAGCCGGTACAGGAATGTCCCGACAGCTGGGTACTCGTGTGCCGATAGTAATCCGAACTGCTGCGAGAGGAGACTGGGGTGAGCGGGCGGTCAGGTCACAGTGTCCGAACCAGGATGCTGCTTGTTTGTTCTCACATTGGGAAGAAGTCGAGCCGACCTTCTGAGAGACAATACGGATTATGCTGCCGATAGTGTGGGCAGTAACGCCTGCATTTCATGTGTCCCGATACGAATGGAAAGCAATCATTTTGTGGTTTGTGTATTTTGTGTGTATATACATATTTTTACAAAACGATTTTTCTGTTTGATGCACTTATGTCTGGGGTTGTATATGGAATCAAGTTATTTAGGAAACGTGCAGAGACGAACAGGCCGACAGGTAAAGGCCGAAACGGGGACAGAGGAATCGGCAGCCGCTCAGTGCGCGATGCCGTGAGCAGTGCACACTTGTTGCACTTGGCGCTCTCGTGTGGGTGGGACGGTGCACCTCGGTGTTCTGTCGTGGGCAGTGTTCCGCTCAATTACCCAACAGGTCTGTAAGGTGATGTTAGTGAGCCGTGTCTGGAGAGCAATTCACTGGACCTGACGCACTTGAAAACTGCTTGAAAACATTTTTTATGATTACATGGCCTCAGGACTTTTTAATAGTAATTTGGCATGATGCACGCGTAAAATGCCTATGCACAGACATTTTATACATCATTGTTAGGAACACTTCAGTAAGCAATGCGAAGCTAAAGGCTCATAATGGTGGCGAATCAGTAAAAATAGCCACGTTCCTGATGAAAAAATGCGTACGAAACGCTGTCTATTATCGTGAAGAAAATTTTCAAATCAGGGATTACCGTCGAGTGATTTGAAGGGACTAACGTCACATTCACACTCACTTGATCCATGAACTTAGATTAATGCAATAATATTTCGGTGCCAAAATCATCCATTTTTTCACAAGCTTCAATGTATTTCATCATGCTCCCTTGCTCATCTATTTCCCCCTCTCATGCATCCATCCTGCTGACAGGCAACAATCGCACACAATAGTAAATCTCGCTGACAGTTAACCTCTGCCTGCTCCATAAGCTGTGCTTCTGTCGCACATACATCACGGTACAAGGCCGCACTCGGCATGTCAGGTGTATCTCCACAAAGGGTCTCAGTCTGTACCGTATACTGCATGTCACCGAGGACAGCCCACCGATGACGAACTGAACGCCCCGTGATCCCGCCTCGACAGCTGCGGCCGGGGCACGGAGCGGCCGACCCGACCGGCGCCGGGCACTCGGCACTCGGCACTCAGAGGCGCGGAGAGACGGCACAATGGGACGACAGGAGACAGCAGTGGGTGAGTTCAAGTGCCCGTCCGCCGGAACGGAGACTGCCGCGTCAAAGGAGATCGCAGACTCATCTCTGTGTGAAAGCCTGACTCTCCCGGCGACCGATTTGGAACGAGGGTTGTCATTAGTTCGCTCTCAATCCAGGGACACCCATGTCCCACGGTCTAATCTGAATAGTTTGAAGTAGGAAACGCACGGGAGTTCGCTTAGGCGTCACGTCCGGTTCACTGCACGCTCATGCGTAGTTTGAACTGAACAACTAGCTCTCATGTTTCCACCCGGACGCACATGACGCAGTCTCACTCTGTAATAAAAGGAACAATGACGGACGAAATTTGGAAATGCGTTAATGAATATGATTCTGCGTTTTAAGCACTGGATCTGCGCCGTTTCCATTGCACAGTAGCAGAGGCGTTATGAAGTTCTGACTACCGATGCATTCGTGGGCACTTTTCTCCTCGCAAAGTATTTGAGCATGGATAAAATTGCGTCGCGGGGCACTGTCAGCAGAGGGAGCGTCATTACCTATCTGTACAGGGCGCGGTGATAGGCAATCTTTTGTGATCGAACCGGCGGATTGCGGCATAACTTATTTACTGGTGTGTACATGTGCTAATGTTTGTGCAAATCAAAACTACTTCCATTGTCCATTGAGCCATCTGACGTGCGAGTATGAAAAGCCCCAGTGTACTGTGGATTACTCGTGAATACACATCTGTATCTGTATCTGTATCTGCAGTCTGCACGGCGCCGTTTACTTAGCGGGAAGACATATTTCCAGAGAGCGGCTTGTCATCTAACAGACGTGCATCCTCTCCATCCTATGCGCACCCAGGGTGCTAGTGACGCCCATGGCACGTTTGCCGTCTCCTTTCATCGTCAGTTCCGCACATCCGCCACTCGAGTGAGTATTGGTTCCGGGGCACCGAGCAGTGAGCAGTTTTTCCGGCCGTCACGGCCCCCTGCTGAGTCAGTGCGGACTGCGGTACGAGACCGCACATAAACCCCGCGGGGCACCCAGGAGCCCTGCTCAGCTCACGGTGCTCGCTCGGCGTGGACTGTGCCCTCCGGCAGTATAGAGCGGTCCCCCTGACCCCGTGAGTCGCACCCACCGCTGAGATGTGGCCCCGTCTGACAGCTGTGGCGCTGGTCCTGGCCCTCCTGGCTGGCGCTCAGGCCGAGGTGGCCACCGTAGTCAGCAGCCCTCTCTCGATCGCAGCCTTCAATGTGCAGCGCTTCGGACTGACCAAGATGGACAAACCGGAGGTCATGGAGCTACTGACCCGGGTGAGTGCATTACTCCTGAAAGGTTGGAGCATAGACCTCTGTGGGCGTTCAGAGGTAGTGGACTATGACTGCAGTTGCATAAAGTTTGAATTCATTACGTTTAATTTGTTTCGCCGTTATAACTTTAGTTGAAGAAAGGTGAACTTCCTCATGCCTTTCTGTTTCTTCCATCATTATTCACTATTCGCTATCCCCTTCCACAGATCCTGTCGCAGTATGACATCACGCTGGTGCAGGAGATTGTCGACATCTCGGAGACGGCCATCCACAACCTGACGGAGCGCGTGGCCGAACACACCGGGCTGCCCTACCGGGTCAGCCTCTCGCCCAGGGTCGGCCGCAACTCGTACGAGCAGTACGGCTACGTCTATAGGTGAGGGTTGATCGAGGTGGGCCGTACTTCGTACGAGCAGTACGGCTACGTCTATAGGTGAGAGCTGAACAGGGTCGGTCGCAACTATACGAACAATGCGGATACGTTTTTCATGGTCTTCTTAAATCTCATAGGGTCCTGTGTATCATGATCACTGAAGCGATTAGTAAATATGGTAAATATCTCATTTCTGGCCGTTTCCTTCACCTGCTTGACTCTCCGTCCATGAAAGCCGATACTTGTGACACACCATTTGACCTGAGCCCGTCTCGGCCTCCCTGCCTCAGGTCGGACCGAGTGCGAGTCGTGTCGGAACAGATGTACCCCGACGCCACCGACGTGTTCGCCAGGGAGCCGTACATCGTCACCTTCGACGTGGATGACGTCAGTGAGTGCTGAACGTTTTCACTTAGAAATAGCCATGAAGACAGTCCTTTTCCGCCATTTTCAGAGGGCCTAGCCAATATATCGGGCATTGACGAGGATATTTAGGTATATTTACAATGAACTGGTAAATTTAGTTAGAAGTAAAACTTCGTTCTTGGGCTTGATTACGATAGCTTGGGCATTAAAACGATGGATTAATTAACTAGTCATCCGATTGATCATATTTCAGCGCAATTGTTATACCGTTTTCGGTCGTATTTCAGGGCACTTGTCGCGGCTCACTCTGGTCGGTATCCACACTCAGCCGAGTAAGGCTCCCGAGGAGATTGACGCTCTATCGGACGTGCTCGACTACGTGGAGTCGCAGCTGGGGGCACAGAACGTGGTGCTGCTGGGTGACTTCAACGCCGGCTGCAGCTACGTCACGGGCGCCGAGTGGGCCGTGAACCGGCTGAAGGGCCGCGGGGACGTGACCTGGGCCATCGCCGACTACACGGACACCACCGTGCACGCCACCAACTGCGCCTACGACCGGTGAGAGACGGCGGGGCCGATAAGAGCTGATTGTATTGTGGGACGAGACGGATGGTTCCAGCTATGCGATCGTGTCATCTTTTTTCAGACTAATTTATTGATTTTGAAATGACATCATAGAGCCAAGTATTATCCCACAAAATCAAAAGCATTAGAAATATCACTCCATTCTTAATACGCAACTGATGATTTATTTGCACACGAGGTTTCAACCTTCAATTAAACTTGCATTAGATGGTCATTGGTCATCAATTTATTATCGGTGAATCTTCTCGGGGATGTTATAATTTACCGGTATTTTTCTCGCTACAGGATTGTGCTGAAGGGCACGGAGCTGAGCAGTGCCGTTGTGGAGGGCAGTTTCGGTCCGTTCCGCTTTGACGAGGAGTGGGGTATCGCGGAGGAGCTGACCGAGGACACGTCCGATCACTACCCCGTCCATATGAAGGTTCGTAGTACCGAGGAGACATGTAATATACTATTATATATTGATTAGCTCGTTCATCAATAGCCCAGGCATGGATGTAACTCATTTGCCTAAGCCCAAACCCCTGCTAAATATCTTTGAAAAGGGACTGGTGTATCATTGCACTATAACGTCTTTTCGCTATAGCAAGGCTTTTAACCAATGCCGATGTCTCCTATAGCTCATGTCTCACAACGTTCAACGTGGTCTCACGGCCGTCTTACCTCGCCGGTCTTCTCGCAGCTGAAGCCAAAGACGCTGTCAGCGGCGGAGCGCTACCTCTACCCTCTGGAGGTGTTTGCCGTCACGGACAAGCGCGGAGTGTCGTCCGGTGAGGTCGAGGTCCTGGCCACGTCGAGCGACACGGCCTCATACAATGTGCTGCCGCTGTACGACTCACAGGGCGCGCTGCAAAAGGTGGGTAACGGGGACAGCCTGCAGGACGAAAAAGCTTGCAGATATTCGAAACAACGCGATGCAAATTCACTTAAAGTAAACTGAAACGACCAGGCAGGAGCTTGAGATGATATGATGTGCGTTTCTGTATTTATTTACAGGTTTTGGCAGAGTACAAATCGTACAAGCTGTCTGGTGAGGGAATCCTGGACACACTCCTAGCGTTCCAGGAGAAATTCCCCTCAATCGTCACTGACTATGACCTGGGTCTGCTCCGCTACAAGGCAAGTGCGCTCCGAAGATTGACAATGGCGTTTAGTGTGTACAACAGCCATGGAATAATGTATGCGTTATGTAAATTGCTTGAGCGTTCGGTTGGTGTCAAACTTTAAGCGGAAGAGTCGTGCCTTGAACAAGGCGGTTAATATATGTAAGCAAAGTTAATCAAAATTAGAGCACGCTCTCGTTCCCACTACTTTGTCTTGCTCAAACTCCCGGCCAGTTGGATAAGCAATTCATCGAGAGAACTCTGAGAGAAGTCTATTTTGAATCACGCTGTTATTAAATGCGCGTTCCCAACTAAAACAACGACTTCGGACTTGGGCGCGCTGCGCATTTTAAAGGCCTGCAATATCCAAATTTCACGCGATTTGCAGAGTCGCCACTGCCCTCTGACCCGTGTTTGACCCCCAGATCGCCGCCGGCGGTTACTCGGACCCGACCGTGTACGAGGCTGCCTCCAGTCCGCGCTGGTTCTGCCGCATCACCTGCTCCGTTGAGACGTCCGGCACCTGCATGGTCGCAGTGGAGAAACGCACCCTGATCGCCTAAACGAACGGTCCTGTGACGTCACTGGTGGAAGTGACGTCATCGGAAAACTATCCCACCGACGAACGATGTGACGAAGCGATGTTGACCCTTGTTTTGTTTGTTAGTGTTGGTGATCGGATATCTGGAGATGGGCATAACTGTGGCATATTATGTTAAAAAGAAAAGGCACCTGGAGAGTTGCTGCACCACAATGTCGGGAGCGTACAGAAACATTGGGTATTTATATGTTTGTATATTTTAATAACGTTTTAGTTCGGGGCACATTCATGAAATACACGATTCAGCTGTAATTGTGTTTGTCGAGCTTCACGCAAATGAATTTCATGCATTTATTAAAATCGAACATGTGTTAGGCACTTTGATTTAAAAAGAAATAGCGTTGTTGCAATCGTTGCTGCTCTGCATTCGCTATCGCTGAATTTGTGGTGAGCAGAGAGACCGTGCGGTGTGCACGTTCTCTCGTTTGGTCGGCATGGTGACCAACCGAGCGGTCTCCAATTTGACTGCACCGAATGACGAATCGGGGAACGTGGTGGCCAGCCGAGCAGTCTCAGTTTGTCTGTAACTAATAGCGATTCATGCAACGCACGGCTAAATGTGTTGCGTTAAAGTGTCACCATGGCGTAGATGTAACTTGCGAGATGACTTTTCTAAGGTATGGCTATGTTGGCCTAAGAGTCGGCTGTTTACAGCGTGGTTTTGAATGGCAGCCGTGCGTACCGCCGGGCATGGAAGCATTGCGGTACAGCATACCCGCCAGGTGTTTCCAGCGGCCAATAAAATTGTTGTGGTGTGTGGGTGTGGACAGCAGTCTAACCTGTCAGAAACTACATCCGATGAGGAGAAAGCATGAAACTTATTTTCACAGAACAATAGAGCGCCGTCTTGTCTTGCATGATAACCGCGTATACTTTAAACAAACCGTGATTTTGTACTAAGAACTCTGAATAAGTCACAGACCTCTGTAATGAATGAACCCATACCGACTAAACATTGTTGACTACATAAAGCATATCTGATTTTTTTTTTGCAGCGAATTGACTGTCAACCGGTTACAAACATTAACACTTGAATCGTGTTTTTAATAGCGGCTATAACATGTGATATTATATCCCCATCATTGCAAAAAAGTAGCTCTTTCGAGAAAGGACTTTCACAGACCAGACCTAGCCGGTATTTTAATTTCAAACTGTCGAGTCAGTTCACCTCACGTGATCACAGTACATACAGCTTCATTTGCAATGCACCGTTGGATTCAGTAGCATGCCTTCCGTTTCGCCTGCATCCCTTCACGGTTAATACCTTACGTAACCCATCAGGAGCCCGATATTATGTCACCGCACGCTCTCGTTCTCGGCGCCGTGATGACAGGAAGCCGTCTGTCCCCCGCCAGCCGGCAAACCGAGCCGTCAGGCTCTCACTCCCAGCCAGTAACGACGGCGTGGCTTGCGAGACCAACACGGAGGCACACCAACAACAAAGACCGCCGCCGGCGGCGCGGCGTGCTATGGCGCAGTGCGGCGTGTCGCGGCGCGGCGCGGTCATCTGAGCGGCTCGCCATGCGCCAGAAACGACTCCGGCGCGGCCACTCGGTTGCCGAGAGAAAGGGAAAGCGGCCACAGCCCGGCTCCAAGGCGGTGTCGGTGGGGCTCATGGCTCACCTGCCCACGAGCCCCGCTGGTCGTCACCGGTGCGGAACGGCCAGGAGCTGCCAGCCCCGTCTCATGTCTGTCCTGTCGTTGCGACAGACACGCGATCTGAGCCGTGTAACACCGACACCAGCGCACTAATTGGAGCGCGAATGAGCGCGGCGGCGGCGTAAATGCCGCGTGTCGGAATCGGGCGATAGTTGGAAATGGCTGACAGTGGGTTTTGTTATTGTTCTGATGAAAGATGCCGCTCAGATTAGCAGACTAAGATGAAATGATACACTAACGCGATTATTTTTTTATGCACACCTGTGATAGAATGCTATACTAACTGGTTGTGACTTGTGAGCACCGAGCACCTATGGCAGCGCGAAGAATGGAAATGCAAAGCTGTCAAACTTGAGGTATGTAATTTCTATCTTAATGTTAATTTATTTTAGACGGAGCTGAGGAAAAGCGGAAAGCATTGGTTAATTCTAGCCGTTTTCACGGCGGGTTACCTCACGAATGCACCTAATTTGACCAAATCTGCACCAAATCTCTTTAACAATAGATATCTGTCCATTATGAATGTATTTCATTGTTTTTAATCGAAAACAATGCCTATTAAAGAGAGAAAATATATGAAAAGTTGACCTCTCCTCGACATTTAAATTATTTGAATAGCCAAATATTAGGTAGGACTGTATTGATATTTCGACCAACAGGCCTTCTTCAGAATAAGGCAGTGTACACAAGTGTATGAGAATACAATATTATATTCTCGTACACTTCTGTACACTGTCTTATTCTGAAGAAGGCCTGTTGGTCGAAATATCAATACAGTAATATTTGGCTATTCAAATAATTTAAATGTCGAGGAGAGGTCAATTTTTCATATATTTTCTCTCTTTAATATTCATAATGTTCCTCGCAAGAGCGCTCCAAAGAATAAGTTCTGAAAACAATGTCTGATAATTTGACAAATGAGGTGTATAAGCATCTGTGTAGCCCAAACTCATGGCTTTTAAGAAACACGCTGAACCTAACTTGACCAAATGTGTACCAAATGACCGTCGTAAAAACAGCAATTTAAAGCGCCGATATAGAAGCAGTGGTCTAGCACATGGTACTCGCTAAAATAGAAGATGCAGGTCAAATATAATTTCATCAGAATCGAGTTTAAATGCCGAGTCTAAGCAATCAAATATTTAAAGAAGTAGTAATTTTCAATCCTTATGAGGTAGTATACATACGTGATCGACTTGCAACTATAGTTGATCATCATGGGCGTAGGAACGTCATGAAAAGTGGGTGGGCCACCCTGTCAAGGGGCCTCCTTTTCCAGGGGGCCTCCTATTTTCAGGGGCCTCCAACTTTTGCCTCGTCCTGCTGGCTGCTTTCAAGTATGACCTCCAAATCTAGCTTCTGAGATCGGGCAGATATACCCAGGGGCGTAACTGTTTAAGCGAACAGTGCAGAAAGTCCGCACCATTTTTAAAACTTATTCCCCTCCGATTTTTTTTTTTAGAATGTATTTGCCGTAAACGGCGCATGACCCCTGAAAACCCTTACACAAATGTCTTCCTCGTTTCCCAGGTGCCCCCATTAGCTTCATAGGCGCCCTCTTTGGCATATAAGCGCCCTATGTATAGTCATCAGAGACATCCCATATATGTCCCACAGTCGCCCCATTGTCGCATACAATGTGCGCTTATCATAGTCGTCTCTCTTTTATGGACACTTGAAGGCACCTCTCTTTGCCATGCCGGCGCCCCTGTTTCTTATGAATGCACCCCCATGGCATTGATCAATTGCAATTTGCAGACCTCTATTGCATGTGGACGCCCATATATGTAGGCCTCAGAGGCGCCCCTCTTTCGCATTGAGGCGTCCCTATGGGCTTCATAGGCACCCCTCTATTGCACGTAGGTGCCCTACTGTCTCAGAACCGCTCCCCTTTGGCATGGAGACGCCCATCTTTCGTACGGAGGAGCCGCTGTGGTTCTTAGAGACGGCATGGTGCTCCCAGACGCAGATGGGGCTCTCGGAGTCGACAGTGTGGGACCTTCAGTCGCTGATGGGTGCCCGCCAGATGTGGACCCTCGGAGACGCCGGTATGGGGCCCTCAGAGATGCCGGTATGTGGCCCTTAGAGACACCGGTGTGGAACCCTCAGATACTTCAGTGGGAAGCCCTTACAATTGCTGGTGTGGAGCTATGAATGCGCTGGCTTAAATCCCTCAGAGGCCGGTACATGGACATAAGAGCTCAGTGAGAGCTTGTGTGGTGCCTTCAGTGGCCTTGTGGAGCCGTTAGACATCAACATGGTGCTCTCAGGAGCCGGTGAGTCCTCAGAGTCACCGGTGTGGGGCCTTCCGAGCTCCGAGATACTGGTCTGGGGCCCTCAGAGGTGTCGGTGTGGGTCCTTCAGATGTACCTATATGTAGAGCCTTGAGATGCACAGGTGTGGTGGCCCACAGAGGCGCCAGTGTGGGGCCCCCAGAGCCACCGATATAGGGCCCTAAGAGACACTAGTATGACCCTCAAAGGCGCCGCTGTGTGGCGCTCATAAACACTGGTGTTGAGTCATCACAGGCGGGTGGAGCCGTTAGAGGCCGGAAAGGGCCCTTAGATGCCTACAAGGAGCCTTCAGAAGCCGGCGTGGCACGTGGGGATAAGCGTGTCTACTTAGGAGCCCTTGAGGTGCTCTCATGAGCTCTGTGGGGCCCTACCGAGCCGAAATATGGCCACGGCCAGTTGCCGCCGCATGGCTCTTCGGACTATCATTCTCAGGGGCCTCATCTGCCTAGTTTGAATAGAAGGGCCTCTCAGACCATCAGTCTCATGGGCCTCCTTTGGCTAGTATAAATAGAAGGGCCTGTTAGACCATCAATCCTAGGGGCCTCCTCTGGTTAGTATAAATAGAAGAGCCTCTCAGACCATTAATCTCAGGGGGCTCCTGTGGACAGTATAAATAAAAGGGCCTCTCAGACCATCAGTTTCGGGGGCCTCCCTAGAAAAGTGTAAATGTGGATAGAGGGCCCTCTCAGATTCATTAGGAGTGGACCTCTCTGACTATCACTCTCAGGGGCCTCTTGTGGCCAGTATGAATATAAGAGCCTCTCAGACCATCGGTCTCAGGGGCCTCTTCTGACTAGTGTGGATAGAGGGCCCTCCCAGACCACCGGTTTCAGGGGCCTCCAGTGGCCAGTTATATGAACAGAAGGGCCTCACAGCCATCAGCCTCGGGGGCCTCTTCTGACTGGTGTGAATATGAGGGCCTCTCATACCATCAGTCTCAGGGGCCTGCTCTGCCTAGTGTGAATATAAGGGCTTCCCAGGCCATCAGTCTCAGGGGACTCTTCTGACTGGTGCCGGATTGAGGGACCTCCCAGACCGAAAGTTTTGGGGGTCTCCTGTGGCCAGTATAAATAGAAGGGCCTCTCAGTCCATCAGTATCATGGGCCTCTTCTGCCTGGTGTGATTATAAGGGCCTCTCAGGTCATCAGTCTCAGGGGCCTCCTCTGACTACTGTGTAGATGGATAAGCCTCCCAGACCATCAGTCTCAGGGGCCTCTTATGACTATTGAGGATAGAGGGGCCTCCTCTGACTAGTGAGGGTAGGGGGCCTCGGCTAGACCGCCAGTGTCAGGGGCCTAAATTTATTCTGACTAGTGTGGATGGAGGGGTCTCCCAGACCACCAGTCCCAGACCTCTGACTAGTGTGGATAGAGGGGCCTCCCAGACTGCCAGTGTCAGGGGCCTCCCCAGACCAGCGTGGATATTGGGGCCTCCTCAGATCCACTAGGGCCTCTCAGGCCATCAGTCTCAGGGGCTTCGACTGACAAGTATGAACAGAGGGCCTCCTTGGATCCATCACGGCCCCTTGGAGTCCGTGCGTGGGGATTCGTGGAACTTATTTTTACCGAGTTTGTTTATTCTGGAAGGTGACGACGTCCTCTCAAATCGAGAAGAGGGGCCTCGAGTAAAAAGTGGGTGGGCCAAAACACATGGTTGGCCCCCCCACCTCGAAAAGTGGGTGGGCACTTGCCCACCTGCCCCCCCCCCCCCTGTTCCTACGCCTATGTTGATCATGGACTAAAACCGTTAGGTTTTTTTCGAGACTGTGACTTCTTGCCAAACAATTGCCTAAAAATAGTCAGCAAAATCCCGTTTCCGAATAAGACATCAAATTTCCATCACGCAGCCATTAGTCGTCTGGGTTTTGAAGCTGAATGAACCAAGGTTTCTTCATTAGTTTGACCTTTTTAAGTAACGAGAGTACCAGGTGGTCAACAGGTGACATTGTTCCCTCTCATTGTTACATAAAACGCGAAATTGCTGCGCCATCCAGCTCGATGGTCCAGACCCGGCTGAAACCAGTTCCTGATTTTGGCCCCGGTTGGAAAGTTTTCTCCCCTCTAAATGCAATGACATGCCGATAGATCTGATGATCTGCGATGCGTGTCCGACGGTCACAGGCCGGCCTGCCCACCTCTTTCTCTCGGGTTTGTCTCGTGGTGCACGCCCGGCTCTGGAGCCAGAGAGGGAGCCAGCTCAGCGCTCGGCGGCGCTATAAAGTCGCCGGGCGAGAGTGAGAAGCTCAGTGCTCCGTCAGAAGCCATCCGGAGACCATGAGGACCCTACTGTTGTGCGCGGTACGTGAAAGGTGTCTAATCCGAGACCAAGGCGATTTGGTGTGGCGTGAATCTGAGAGATTGTGCTGTGAGAAGAGGATAAGTGAGCGATTGTGTTGGAACTGCATGGTTGAGTTACGGCATCGACGTTTGGTCTCTCCTGCTCCGTCAATCAGCTGCGAGCTTCAAATGTCTAGTACTTTGTTTGAGTGTGCCCAGCATCAATTTCCTTTAACTTCGTTTGGAAGTTTTAAACAGCAATTTTGAATTTCTATTCTCTTATTCTCAAGTTAACATTCAGATGTGCGAATGTGTATCTCCAAATCGTATGAAAAGGAACATTTTTCTTGGCATTTATATGTTTAAAAATGTAGACAAAAAGCAGTAACATGCGCAGAGTCTTTGCTGTTAAGTGTTTATCAGTGAGCTTTTGCACGTCTGCTGTCTCTGCTACCTCTTGTTCGCGAGCTCTCGCTACGGGAGACCAATTTTCGTGTGTCTTTAAAGCCAATATTAAATCCGTTTATTTTTGTCGTCACAAAAACTAACTTGAGCTCCCAAGCAGCATCATCTCACTTACCAGCACAATCGTAAAAGATAGATATTTTCTAACCTTGGGAAACCACGGCCTTTCCGTCACTGTTTCTATTTCGAGCCAGCCGGAGTCAGCGAAACCCTGCTGCTCCGGGTCGTTGCTCGCCTTTTATTTGACGAAATCCTCCTGTCCAGGTGGTCGCTGTGTGCGTCTGCGGGACGCTGGGAGCCCGGCGAAGGCTTCTCGTCGGACCACCACGCCGCCCCGTACAGAGCGTAAGTTGCAGGCTTCCTTCTGCGTGCGATGAAAATGGAATGTGGATAATCAGTGGTGTGGACGTGACGGTATCAGCAACTCTTAACTGCAATCAGTAGTATTTTAATTCGGCAATATTCATGTACGCCTAGCTGCCTGTTAGTACAAATGCTATGGCGTCTTTATCTACAAGTATCACAGGCGTGTTATGATTGGCTTTTTGTTCGAGCCGTCACTCGTGGAATTTACGTGCATTAGCATACAAGAATGATTTTGTGCGAAACAAAAACACTGAGCTTCAGCTATCGATAAAGATAATACACCTACGGCATGTTTCAGTGATCGACCATCTCCCCCTGGTTTTCCAGCTGCCTATAGGAGGCTGGCCGAGGTCCCGGGACGGGGATCTCCCCGGACGTCCCGTTCCTGGCCGAGTTCCGGCCGAGCAGCTGCGGCTGGCTCCCAGGGAGCGCTACCCGCAGCCGCCGCCGCCTCAGGAGTTCGACGACGAGTTCCAGGCGCCGTTCCGTCCCCAGTCCCCGGAGTTCTTCCGTCAGGATGAGCCCTTCGCGCCGGAGCCTTACCGCCGGGCGCCTCAGGAGCCCTACCGCCAGGAGGCCGAGGACCTCTTCCGCAAGCAATCTCTCGAGTCCTTCGGTCAGAGGCCCCAGGAGTCCTTCGAGCCCCAGGAGGTCTTCGGACAGAGGCCGTTCGTGCAGGAGGATGAGACTCCTGAGGCGAGGCCCGTCCCGGTGAAGAAGCCTGCGGAGGAGCGAAGGGAGCTCGCCGCCGAGTCGTCGGTGCAGAAGCGACAGGACTACGCTCCCCTGGTGCAGAGGCAGGAGCCTAGCTACAGCGAGGTAAACATCCTCAATTCGAGAAATTATCAATCGGGATTTGTTGCTGACTTTTTAGTGTTCGGTGACATTGGTGCCGAATAAATAGTAGATCAAGTTTGCTGGTCAGTAAGTCTGAAGTGCCAAAATGAATGTACCTAGTTTGCTCTGCACACTTTTTCAACGTTTTATTTTAGGGTGGGGTTTGAAACGAGTTTATTTATTTTCTCATCTTGCATTGTAGTAACTTCCTAATGTCCAGCAAAAGCTGGACCCACCAATAACCTCCATCTTTTCACGCATCCCACAGCCGGTGGCGGACAGCCGGCAGGACGCCTACTCGCTCAACATTCCCGAGAAGAAGGAGAAGCAGCGCCTGGAGTTCCAGGTGCACGGCCAGCAGGGTCCGCACAGCTACCGCTTCGGCTACGACACCGGCACCGGGTAAGATGGTACCATTGCAGCAGCTCACCACTGTCCTTTGCGGTTCTTTATATGTGGAGAGACCTGAATGGGGCTATCTCCGATTTGAATTGCACTAGCGTTTGACTTTCCCGTTCAAATCACCACATGGAGTAAAACTGAATTGAACTTGAATTTACCTTGGTAGAGATGATTTGGCTAAAAACTGGGTCTATTTACAAACACCCAAACAGGTGAGCCAGCGAATTACTGAAAAGCAGAGATGCCATGCTGCCCGTTGGCTAATCAAGGATTCGTTTGGCTTCGTTTGTTTGAAAGATTCGTTTGTCCCGTATACAACAGTCACTGGACGTCACCCGACAGATAACTGCTGATTACTGACTACGACAAACACATCTTGAGTGTCCCTACCGGATGTTCGGTCATGATCCAGGATGGACATGGTCTGCTGAGCATTGTCCTTTCTCTGAGCAGATTATTGCGTGAGGGGCTATGTTCCGTCGCTGATCGCTGTTTTTTTTTCTTCTGACAACGATGCCTGGCAGCAACGATCGGAAACCATGGCGGACTGCTTCCGATGGTCTTTTTACCGTCTGGAGCCCACGACAAGGAGCTTTCTAAAGTATAACTGTCGTTACATCACTCCGGCCTATCAATGAGTAATGGGTACCGGGAACTGGTGCAGCCCTGGCTGCCCAGTCCCGCCTCGCTCGGCTGCGGTCAGTCGGTCCGCAGCTGCTCTCGGGAAGGCAGCTGGAGAAAGCTGCCGTCACGGTCGGCTGGCCATGGCACACCCCTGTCGGTGGCGACTCTCTCGGCCTGAGCGGCTGGCCCAGCCGAGCGTCACATCAGCGCGCCGCGCCGAGACGGAGGTAGTCTGCGTCCGTCCCGCTCCCCGTCCCCCTCCAGGAGCACGGCGTCGGGACCAGTCAGGGGTGACATTCTCCAGTAGCAGCATAGAAAGGATGACTTAGATTTCGCTTTCTACATGTAGTTCAAAATTTAACTTCGTCTAAATATGCTCGGATTTTATTTATCGCATCGTCTGGTATCTTGTAAAAAAAAAAAATATACCTGATAAGCCGTTGGACAGAAATAGGATTGTTCGAATGTGTTTATAGCTGCATTGAGACGGTGTAACTTCTAAAAACTTCAAAAATGCATTCAAAGTCCGCTCGATCTTTCGAAACAAATAAAAACATATCGACTCTTTATCAGCTATACCTATTCTGCACACTTCCCGTGGTCTCCCTGGCCGCGCGCTCGCCTCCGCTCGTCTCCAGCTCCGCCCACTGGACGCGGTTCGTGTCACTTTCCCGCGTCACATGTCGCCGGCCGTGACGGCCACACGTGACGCGTCCGGCCGTGACGGAAACCGACACAGATCCAGCGGCCCAGCGGCTGAGAGGCGGCTTAGTTCACGGCGGGCGTGAGTCGGCGGGTTCCGCGGACAAAAGGGAATCGGAACAAAAAATGTGCTTGTCCACGCTTCTCCTTGTATCTGAAAGCCAGAAGCCACGCCAAAAATTGCGACATGCGAGGGCTTCTAGGGTTTAAGCAGAAATGCGATCGCATAGATGCTGTCAGGTGAAATTCTAGCAGATTCCCAAGCTTCGGTCGGTGTACCTGTATAATCACCAACTTCCTTTTCCTCGGCAGGCAGGTGTCACCGCCGGTCTCACTGTCCCGGCAGGTATAATCATCAGTCCCCTTTTTCCGGCAGGTATGAGCGTAAACCTCAATTTTTCACGGCAGGTATAACCATCAGTCCTCTTTTTCCCCACAGGTAAAATAACCATCAGTCCCCTGTTTCCGGCAGGTATAACCGTCAGTCCCCTTTCTCTCGCCAGGTACAACCGTCAGTTCCGATTCGAGGAGCGCGACGCTGACGGTAACCTGAAGGGCCGCTATGGCTACTACAAGGACGGAAAGCTGCGGGTGGTCAACTACTCAGCCACGCACAAGGGCGGCTTCCACGCCGAGGGCGACTTCGGCAAGTTCCCAGAGAACAAGTACTGATCGCCCGGCGCCGAAATGGAAAACCGCCAGCTTTGTAAAGACACGCGGCCGATGGCCTCACTCCGCGTGCTCCTGCATTCACAGAGAAGTGCACACACCATCGGCATGACTGATACGCAAGCAACATTAGGAGTGGTGCGTCTTCGCTATGCATACGAAGACTTATTTGTTTTGATTAACTGATATTCATCAGTTAGGAGCCATTATGCTCTTGAGCAAACACCTAGACTTCATGCTTTTGTGAAACGGGTTTAGGCTAACTTTTCGTTAGCCTAAACCCGATTTTCAATTTATTTTAATTTACCCTAACTTTTTGGATAGCATAAATTAAAACTAGTGTATTTTGATAGGAACAGCCCAGATCCGAGTTTATACTAACTTTGGAGCACGTTAGCCTAAACCAGATTTACCCTAACCCGGCCAATTAAACGATTCTGTTAGTTCATATTTTATCCACCAGAGTTTGCTTCATACTCAAAGGCCTTCCTCGTCCAGTAAAAGATCTGGCAGCGATGTGCCACGTCGATTTGGAAGCACGACTGAGATACAATTTCGGCGCAGCTGTTTGCACGCCGGAATATCTTTGAGCGTTATTTGTTGTTGCACGTGCAGTTTCAAGGATGGTTGTCGTTGTGTGTCTACAACAGGTAAGCTAAATATTGTTCTCCCTAATATTGATATATGATAGATCAGGTTCAGTAAACAGCCAGAAGAACTCCACCCACCCATATTGTTGTCACTTGTCTCCTTGTTTTGTTTTGTTTTTCCACCTACCTTCTTGCAAAAATTGCCTGTAGGTAGCTTGTGCCTGCCATGACATGACTAGAGTCCATGCTGGTATCCCTTTTTGCTTTATCTTGGCGGCTATATAGTTGTGTGAAGATGGTGGATACTAGGCTCATGTGTTGTTAATTGTTACCTACATCACTTTTCATTTTGAAATGAAGGAGCAGGGCATCCTTACAATTGTAAAACTAACCATACTTTGTTGGAAGCTGTTCTGTTTGGTTGTGCATCAGTTGGGTAAAGGACGAGGCACAAATCCAAATATTGATCGACTAATGAAAGGTTGGAGTGGGCAGGGCCATGACCATGTAACGAAAAAAGGGACGTGATTTCATGCATTCTAGCTTTCAAATGAAAAAATAAGACATTAGCAAGTTGTGATTCACACAAGGCCTGTACTCACTCAGCGCACAATTAACTGGCGGTCCTAATGAAGCAAGGCCCTATATACCAGGTAGGGTCGTCCGGCGATTCTACCTGATCGTGACGTCAGCTCGTGACGTCATCTGGGGGCAAGTCTTGAAGTCCCGTTTAAGTCCTATGCAAATGGGCGATTTTTGAAGCGCTATAGAACAAAGTCTGCTACAGCTAGCACAAAACTAAGTGCATCATCGGAAAGCCAAGACATTTTTCTTCGAATTATCTAAGAAGCATTTTTCACTAAACCCATTAGTTTTTTTCCAAAAATGCGTAAAAAGCCCCCATGCCTCCGCAGCCTCCCTTCCGCCGGCCGCCACGCCGCCGCGGTGGTGTAGTGGTTAGGATGCTTGCGCCGTAATCCAAAGATCGTGTGTTCGAATCTAGGCGCGGGTCGTACTTAAATCGAAATTGCAAGCAGAATATGTGTTGTTTCTTGATAAATGACTTATATTACAGCTAACCGTTCATAAAGCTATCGATAACAATTGACTGAAACACAAAATATAGAATACATTCTAATAAAACAAATTCAAATATGGCGGCCGTTGCGCCAGGCTCCGCCACCGACTCCGCCCCTTCGTGTGACGTCATCTGTGCACTTGGACACACAGGGAGATAGGGGACGACATGGGCCTGATGAAGTAAGTTGTGACTCAAGGCCAACCGACGCACCGTGGGGACTTTTGCGATCCTAGCACGACATAAGAAGCAAATACGAGTATTTTGATTTACACTTTCTTTATATTCTTTCTACGCAGAATTGTCCAGTGTATCCGAATCCGACCTTAAATCGCTTTAAAAATGATGACTTATACATCAAAATACGTCACAAAGTGAAGGGTTGAGCTCACTAGCACCGTGCTCCTAGGATAAGGCGAAAAAATAGCATGACAACGGAACGCCTGCTCACTCGTTTAATCAAGCACCAATTCGATGTTGCGACATGTTTTTATAATCTGTATTTAATGAGGAATACGAGCATATGCATAAAAAGTTCGAAAAATAATCCAAAGGTATGATTTTTGAATGAAATACAAAAAATGTTAATATGCCACTCGTCTCGGAGATTTGACTCGGCAAATCATAGCCTTACAAAGTGAGTTACGCGGTGTCAGGGGCTCCGCCACAGGGGGGGTCGCGGGGGTCCGGACCCCCTCAATAATTTTCCTGGGGGGTACAGTACCCCCCAATATTCCAGATACATATAAGCTTGTTTTCGCGTAGAAATGACTATATCATTCACAATATGCATTTTGAATGTGTTGACAGTCGTATAGCTAAGGAACTGAAGATCTAGAAACGTAGGGAATCCTTATAATGTCCTAGCAGACGAAGTGCTCGACAGACCCCCGACCGACTCGACAGTGACACTCACCGGTCTACATGGGATTCCACCATTATTCCACCATTTTTGTTATCACTATGAATGCGTTTAAGATGGCTAGGATTAGCTAGGTATGCTAGCATTTGGCTATGAATTTGCGAGGGGGGGGCGTCCAGCTTGTAGGACACCTCCTAGACACAACGCCTGCCCTAAGAGAGCTTCAAATCGATCTAAGAATCCTCTTTCAATGTAAGATCCTATAGTGTCAGGGGGGGGGGGGTCCATGTCGGTCTTTCAGAGCACCATACTAGTCTAAGCATCTTCACACCGTTCTGAGGTAATCTGCAATAATCTGCACAGGGCTCTGAATGCAGGTTCGTAGAGGTAAGACATTCACAAGTCACAATCCCAACAGGATCCCCATTGTCTGACTATTGATTCAATCGGAGCATTTTGATATCAATTTTCAGGTCAGGATAGGTCACACTCATCACAGAGACAATGTCAGTTGTCAGTCTCTAAGGACCCCATGCTGCCATATGAGGGCAGGGCTTTCAAATCCCTACAATAACTGCTAAAGCCCTGAGCTTTCCTTTAAGTACGGCCTAGGAGGACTCTACATTGGCTTTAGAGACTACATGGATATCTGAGGGCCTATGTAGGTCCCTGAATTCCCAAGCCCATGCCAGTCACTGAGAGCCCAATGCGTTATCTGATGGCCAATGCCGCCTTTGGAGCGCTCAACACTGGCCTCCATTCCTCAAGAACGTCGATTTGAGAGGCCGCCATGTCGGTGTCAGTAGGGCTCTGCTCCTCGGTTTTCGATTCCTTATGCAATCTGAACCTTGGTTTTGCAGTTTAAAGCAAACTTCTTCCAAAAAATTGCTAAGTTTCTTTGTACTATAGAAAAACAGCAATTTTTCATCGATTTCGGGCGCTGCGGTGGGGGGGAGGGGGGGGGAAGGAATCCCTTTGAATGCCACCTTGGATCCGCCAGTGAGGTTTTGTGTTTTGGGTCGGACCCCCCCAATCCCAAAACCGTGGCGGAGCCCCTGCGCGGTGTTACGTGTGGAAACACATTTCAAAATATTCTCCCATAAATTCTGCATTGGAATAAACTTTTATCTTTTGCCCAATTTTGCCCAAACAGCTACTACGAGACATCAAAGCAGAAGATGTCGCGTGGCTCCCAGTGCTCCGCCGTGCTGCCCGGCGTCGCGGCGGTCAGCTGACTGCGGTGTACCGCCGCAGGAGTAAAGTCGTGCTAGGAGGGGCAAAATCCCCACAGTGCGACGTTTGACGGCAATTGCTGATCGAAAGAAACGTGCCAGAAAAAGTGAGTAAGTAAGAGATGGTGAATAGTTATTATTTGTATTATTTTAATATGTGAGATGGTGCTTTTTGCCATGATGAATAGATATAAGTATGCAAAAATGATCAATAACATGGCAGAATTGTAAAACTTTTATTGTAACATAGGCCAAATATGAGAATGAGCTTTCACTTTCCAGCATCATCAGATTCATTATTTGAATCTGATGAATCAAATAATGAATCTGATGATGCTGTAAAGCGAAAGCTCATTCTCATATTTGGCCTATTTTACAATAAATGTTTTACATTTCTGCCATGTTATTGATCATTTTTGCATATTTATATTTATTTGTATTAATTTGTTTACAATATTGTCAATTATAACGAAATTAATTATTATTGAATAGTTACTATTTTGTATTTATTGTTTTAATAATAAATTTCTAAACTTTTTTCATAGTGCCGACTGCTGATCCATTTATGGAATGGTCAGCTGATTGTCTACCAAAGTGGACGCCCAGAACCTGCAAAAAATATTGTCATTTTCGGGTGAATGAGCGCACTATCGTCAAGTATTACTCGTTAACTAGCAATCCTTTGGTAAATGGAAGCTTTTCCTCTTCAGTGGGTGTAGGTACTCAATACTGCAAGTATTGTCCCGTTACACTGAATGCACCCCGTCATAGCGGGGGCTGCATTTATGCCCATATATGGTCATAGGTACAAGATCCATTTATTGATCAATCAATGTTTTGATTTCTGCCTCATAGTTTCCCCAATTGGCATGCTTCTTGTAAAACACTGATTGGCAGTGCTGCTAGCAGGTGGCAAAGAAAAATGATGAAGCTAACCACACACACAAAAAAATACAGCCAAAATAATGACTGTTTTTATGCAAAGCATGCTAAAAGACAATCAGGAAATTGATTTTTTATGGAGGCAATCTGGTGTCAGAATCAAACTATTGATTCCACAAACATTAGTTTGTGTTTTGTTTTTGATAGTTTTTTTTTTGATAGTTTGGCTATTAACAAAATTGCATAGGCGTAGGAACAGGAGGGGCCAGGTGGGCAAGTGCCCACCTACTTTTTGAGGTGGGGGCCGGGGGCTACAGGGCCTCCTGTAAGGAATTTCACTGGAGGGGGGGGGGGGCAGAGGCTCAAGGAGCCAAACCTAGGGTTCCCTCAAATCCTGTTTTCTCATCGGATTTAGGCCACTTATTTTTAGTCATAGCCCTGACACGATGATCTTTTCTTAACTAACAAAAATAAAAATAGTAGCCTATCTTATCCATGCTTTGATATTTATTTGTAACCTTTCACATTGCCCGACCAGGTGGTTACAAAAATGAAATACAAGGGAAATACAAACCTCCCAATTTTAATGCTATCTTGCTCAAAATTTTGCGCTGAACCCCTTTCAGCATTTGGGGCCTGGGGGTAGGTCTGGTCAGGTAAGTTCAGGTCAACCAGTGTCCAGTAGCTAGCCTAGGTGTCATGCCAGGTAGCCAGAGTAGGTGTCAGTCACCACTGAAAGGGAGCTGCGTATTATGGGAAGCTTCGTAACATATTTTTTGGCACCAAAACCTCTCCTGAAAATGGATCCTAAATTCGACATCTGCAAAAAGGACACTAATACATGTTGAAACTTGAAAAGGTGAAGCAAGGTCATCTAAGCTCAGTAACCTTGACCACCTGACCCTAATGCGACCCTGACACCTACCATAAGGCATGGCATTACAATCATCCCACAAGTTGGCGCGTTTTTAAGACACAAATAGTCTGAAAACGCATAGATAATGTG